ACACAGAGAATTCTATTTCCCCTAGGGATCCATGCACACAGCCCCTGGACACAGAATTCTATTTCCCCTAGGGCTCCATGCACACAGCCCCTGGACACAGAGAATTCTATTTCCCCTAGGACTCCATACAGACAGCCCCTGGACACAGAGAATTCTATTTCCCCTAGGACTCCATACAGACAGCCCCTGGACACAGAGATTTCTATTTCCCCTAGGACTCCATACAGACAGCCCCTGGACACAGAGAATTCTATTTCCCCTAGGACTCCATACAGACAGCCCCTGGACACAGAGAATTCTATTTCCCCTAGGGCTCCATGCACACTGCCCCTGGACACAGAGAATTCTATTTCCCTAGGGATCCATGCATACAGCCCCTGGACACAGAGAATTCTATTTCCCCTAGGGCTCCATGCACACAGCCCCTGGACACAGAATTCTATTTCCCCTAGGGCTCCATGCACACTGCCCCTGGACACAGAGAATTCTATTTCCCCTAGGACTCCATACAGACAGCCCCTGGACACAGAGAATTCTATTTCCCCTAGGGCTCCATGCACACTGCCCCTGGACACAGAGAATTCTATTTCCCCTAGGGCTCCATGCACACAGCCCCTGGACACAGAATTCTATTTCCCCTAGGGCTCCATGCACACTGCCCCTGGACACAGAGAATTCTATTTCCCCTAGGACTCCATACAGACAGCCCCTGGACACAGAGAATTCTATTTCCCCTAGGGCTCCATGCACACTGCCCCTGGACACAGAGAATTCTATTTCCCCTAGGGCTCCATGCATACAGCCCCTGGACACAGAGAATTCTATTTCCCCTAGGGATCCATGCATACAGCCCCTGGACACAGAGAATTCTATTTCCCTAGGGCTCCATGCACACTGCCCCTGGACACAGAATTCTATTTCCCCTAGGGATCCATGCACACAGCCCCTGGACACAGAATTCTATTTCCCCTAGGGCTCCATGCACACAGCCCCTGGACACAGAATTCTATTTCCCCTAGGGCTCCATGCACACAGCCCCTGGACACAGAGAATTCTATTTCCCCTAGGACTCCATACAGACAGCCCCTGGACACAGAGAATTCTATTTCCCCTAGGACTCCATACAGACAGCCCCTGGACACAGAGGATTCTATTTCCCCTAGGACTCCATACAGACAGCCCCTGGACACAGAGAATTCTATTTCCCCTAGGACTCCATACAGACAGCCCCTGGACACAGAGAATTCTATTTCCCCTAGGGCTCCATGCACTCTGCCCCTGGACACAGAGAATTCTATTTCCCCTAGGGCTCCATGCACTCTGCCCCTGGACACAGAGAATTCTATTTCCCCTAGGGCTCCATACAGACAGCCCCTGGACACAGAGAATTCTATTTCCCCTAGGGCTCCATGCACACAGCCCCTGGACACAGAGAATTCCATTTCCCCTAGGGCTCCATGCATACAGCCCCTGGACACAGAGAATTCTATTTCACCTAGGGCTCCATGCACACTGCCCCTGGACACACAGAATTCTATTTCCCCTAGGGCTCCATGCACACAGCCCCTGGACACAATTCTATTTCCCCTAGGGCTCCATGCACACTGCCCCTGGACACAGAGAATTCTATTTCCCCTAGGACTCCATACAGACAGCCCCTGGACACAGAGAATTCTATTTCCCCTAGGACTCCATACAGACAGCCCCTGGACACAGAGAATTCTATTTCCCCTAGGGCTCCATGCACACAGCCCCTGGATACAGAGAATTCTATTTCACCTAGGACTCCATACAGACAGCCCCTGGACACAGAGAATTCTATTTCCCCTAGGGCTCCATGCATACAGCCCCTGGACACAGAGAATTCTATTTCCCTAGGGCTCCATGCACACAGCCCCTGGACACAGAATTCTATTTCCCTAGGGCTCCATGCACTCAGCCCCTGGACACAGAATTCTATTTCCCCTAGGGTTCCATGCACTCAGCCCCTGGACACAGAATTCTATTTCCCCTAGGGCTCCATGCATACAGCCCCTGGACACAGAGAATTCTATTTCCCCTAGGGAACCATGCATACAGCCCCTGGACACAGAGAATTCTATTTCAATAGGGATCCATGCACACTGCCCCTGGACACACAGAATTCTATTTCCCCTAGGGCTCCATGCACACAGCCCCTGGACACAGAGAATTCTATTTCCCTAGGGCTCCATGCACACTGCCCCTGGACACAGAGAATTCTATTTCCCTAGGGCTCCATGCACTCAGCCCCTGGACACAGAATTCTATTTCCCTAGGGCTCCATGCACTCAGCCCCTGGACACAGAATTCTATTTCCCCTAGGGCTCCATGCACTCAGCCCCTGGACACAGAATTCTATTTCCCCTAGGGCTCCATGCACTCAGCCCCTGGACACAGAATTCTATTTCCCCTAGGGATCCATGCACTCAGCCCCTGGACACAGAGAATTCTATTTCCCCTAGGGATCCATACACACAGAAAATTCTATTTCCCCTAGGGATCCATGCACACAGCCACTGGACACAGAGATTTCCATTTCCCCTAGGGCTCCATGCACACTAGCTTTTTTTATAAGCTCAAAAAACAGTCTCAGAAACTGGAAGCGATGAACATTCAACTTTGATTTAGCCACATGTAAACTGCGCAATTTAAATTGGGCAAGCATCTGATCTGCTGTGAAGGGCAGAGGAGAGATCTGGGGTCTAATAAACCCCCGATTTCTCAGTAAACTGTACCTGTCACTACTTATTGCTATCACAGGGGATATTATAATACAGGATTTATATAGCGCCAACAGTTTGCTCAGCGCTTTACAATATAACGGGAGACAATACAGCAACAATACAGTTCAATACAAGAGGGTTAGGAGGGTCCTGCTCCTTGGAGCTTACAATCTAAAAGATTTATATTCATAAAATAAAGGGACAGTGTAAAAAAACAAAAAAAACTTTTTTTTTTACAGTGGCCCCAGGAACGGGTGCAAAGGCAAATGCATGCATTGGTACGTAAACATCAACTGAACCACACACGAGGTATCACCCCGCTATGGATAATAAAATGTAAGTATTTTCATGCTGTTGCAAAGGCATTTGCATTTTTACAGCGTGACATGTTTGGTATTTACTTGGCGTAACATCTTTTATATTTTACCAAACAATTGGGTATTTTTTGTGTTTTTGTGGTGTTAAAACGCATTAAATTGTATTGCCCCCCCCCCCAAAAAAAAAAAGTTGTGTCTGAAAAACCACTGAGCAAATATTGTGTGACAAAAAATTGCAACACCCATCATTTTATTCTCTAGGGCCTCTACTTTAAAAAACGTTTGGGGGTTCTGTGTCTTCTAGCAAAAAAAATATGGTTTTTACATGTAGGAGAAAAGTGTCAGAATAGGCCTAGCAGGCAAGCGTTTAAAGAGTTGCTAGACCCTGCATTCACTATATCTGGTCTCCCACGGTACACACAACATGGAAATGCAATTATTTTAGTGAATATAAACTGCTAAACACCTTTTCTCATCAGCAGTTACAGCAATCTTGTGGCTTCTATCAGTGTCCAGCACAGCACTGGTTATCGCTTGTAGGAGGAGTTTTCATTCTCCTCTGATTGTCCTATGAGGTTGCAGGACCCCTGACCCTCTGTCTGGACAGTGCTAATTGGCTGTGTGCTGATCACATGCACCCTCCCAAGAAGAAAAACAAACACACAAGAAATACATACCAAACTGAGCATGTGCAATTTGCCCCCAAGGCTCTGTTCTATCAGAAGATGGATTGGGGACAGTAGAAGGGGAGGATCAGAGAAGTCAGAATCAAACAGCCTTTTTACACAATGCAGAGGATTATCCCCTTAGGTTCCACAGTGAGTATAACAAGCATGCTTTACTGCATATACAGACTGATTTTACGGTTGTGGGTTTAGGAACACTTTAAGACAAACAGAGAGGGACCGTGGTGCAGACAGACTTTACGAAGTAATCCTGCGTGCCACTCTAAACGTGTCCCCGCCTGCAAATTCAAGTACAGGTTCTACACAGACACACAAATTTAGCGCACGCTGCCCCATTTTAGAACACAGGAGGGTCACTTCCGTAAAACCAGTGTGCGCCATTCTTGATGAATCCCGGGACTGTGTAGACCAGTGGTTCTCAACCTGTGGGTCGCGACCCCTTTGGGGGTCGAACAACCCTTTCACAGGGGTCCCCTAAGACCATCAGAAAACACATTTCCAATGTGTAAAGAGCAGCTGCTGTGTTGAAAGCAGCTACTGTGTTGAAAGCAGCTACTGTGTTGAAAGCAGCTACTGTGTTGAAAGCAGCTACTGTGTTGAAAGCAGCTACTGTGTTGAAAGCAGCAGTATTGGAGGTAAAACGACACTCATGAATTATAATTACGGTGTAAATAATCTTATGGTTAGCGGTCACCACAACATGAGGAACTGTATTAAAGGGTCACGGCATTAGGAAGGTTGAGAACCACTGTGTAGAGGGACGTATGTGAGGGACGTAGAACAGCGGTGTTTCCGGCGCTTTCCTGCGCGCATACGGCGATAATCATGCCTATAACTCTGTAGAGCGATCAGCACCATCCAGACGCAGCATATCGCAGCTTCTCAGACTACGCCAGGCTGGGGGCCGTACCCGAGCCTCTTGGACACACTAAATCCCAAGTCTGGACACACAGGGACCACAGGTCTAGGGACCTATCTGATCTAGGTAGAGTCTAATAATGAAGCTGTGGGGGTCAGCAAGGCAGCCAGCATTTCCTGGAGAAGACAGCATGGGTAACCTCCATATACAACTCTCCGCTGAGCCCAGTCCTGTGTACACAAGTATGGCAAGTTTGGCTGAACTCCTGGATATGCCATCCTCTCAGGAGACTGTATGTGACCAAGACAGGCAGACATGTCATTCCCTCTTCTACAGTACATGGGCCTATTTCATTTGACCCTGTACAGGACACCCGGCCAGGCTAGACACTCACCCCAGGCTGCCAAACACTCTATCTGCAGCGGCAGCTTCTCCAGGATCAGGACCGGCTCAAAGGCGTCATGCATGACTGCAGCGGCCTACCACCCCGCCAGACCGCGGCCTCTCCTGCAGGCCCAGCTGCCTAAGGAAACCAGATTCACGGCCGGTATCCGGCGACACAGGCCTCCCCGAGCGCCGTACACCTCACACAACAGCTGATTCTTCCTCATAGCAAGCCCCTCCCCACTGCTGGCAGCACTCCTCTGTGAGGCGGCCTCTCAAACCTAGCAATGAAGGCAGGGCCCATCCCCAATGCTGGCAGCAAGCCTCTGTGGGGCGGCCTCTCGGTCCTAGCACTGAAAGCAGGGCCCCGCCTCACTGCTGGCACCACGCCTCTGTGAGGCGGAATCTCGGCCCTAGCAATGCAGGCAGGGCCCCTCCCCAGTGCTGGCACCACGCCTCTCAGTCCTTGCAATGAAGGCTGGGCCCCTTCCCCACTGCTGGCACCACGCCTCTCTGAGGCGGACTCTCCGTCCTAGCAAAGGCTGGGCCCCTCCCCACTGCTGGCACCACGCCTCTATGAGGCGGCCTCTCCGTCCTAGCAAAGAAGGCTGGGCCCCCTCCCCAGTGCTGGCACCACGCCTCTGTGAGGCGGCCTCTCCGTCCTTGTAATAAAGGCAGGGCCCCCTCCCCACTGCTGCCACCACGCCTCTCTGAGGCGCCCTCTCCGTCCTTGCAATAAAGGCAGGGCCCCTCCCCACTGCTGGCACTACGCCTCTCTGAGGCGGCCGCTCCGTCCTAGCAAAGAGGGCTGTGCCCCCTCCCTATTGTTGGTACCACGCCTCTGTGAGGCGGAATCTCGGCCCAAGCAATGCAGGCAGGGCCCCCTCCCCACTGCTGACACCACGCCTCTGTGAGGCGGCCTCTCCGTCCTTGCAACGAAGACCGGGCCCCCTCCCCACCGCTCGCAGCACGCCCCTATGACGAGGAATTCTGAGTACGAACATTAATATTAGTAGCCCCCCCCCCCCCCCCCCCCCCCAGTGCTGGCAGTACTCCTCTATGGGAGGTCTTTCCGTCATAACATTTTAGCTGTTCACATTCCTCCTCAGGATGTCTGACGTCATAGGGAGCAGTGGGGCTTAGTTACTAAAGCGGGAGAGTGCAAAATCAGACTCACGTCTGCTTAGGAACCAATCAGCTTCCAGGTTTTATTGGCAAAGCTTAAATGGGCAAACAGGTTAGAAGCAGATTGGTTTCTATGAAGAATTGAGCCTGATTTTGCACTCTCCTCTTTTAGTACAACCCCAAAATGTTCCAGGCAGGCCAGGCCATGCTGCTTTTCTCATGTTCTGCAATTCCCAATATCCTCGATTTCCAGGAGCAGCTCCAAGTGATGATAATGTGGCCCTGTCACTGTCCCCAGACTAGAGGGAGGAGGAGATATCCACAACCTGAACATGACGATATAACAAAAGGCCAAACAGCTTGTTTAGTTTTGAATAGAATGGAAGAATCAAAACAACATTTAGTCATTTATTGCTGTCTGTGCCCGTTAGGGTGATTTCCTCTTTTTATCCCGTTTACCATTAGCAAAAGAAAATCTTACATTTTGGTTGTCCCCAGAAAAGTAATAGAAGATAAATTTTCCACTGGGGACTACTTCTGGTGACCCCAATAGCTTCCCTTAGTTTGCAGGGATTTCCTCCCACTTCCTGTTTGGCTATAGGACAGGAAGTGAAGGGAAATCTGGCAAAAAAATACATTGAAATGGGTTATAAACACCCCCCCCCCCCCTTTACACTATGTGAAATAGATTTAAAAAAAAAAAGTTTTGCCTGTAGTTCCTCTTTAACCTCTTCACGTCGGCCGCAAACAAATGTGTGGCCTCCCGGACGCAGAGCGGCCGCACATTTGCGTTCAATTAACAAAAAGCATATGTGCTGAGAGCGCACGCCCTCAGCACATATGTCCAGTACTCATGGAAAGGTCCCAATCTGCTCTTTCGATTAGGACCTTTCCCGATCATGTGACTGCCATGACGACATGTCATATGATCCCTAAACCCCGCCCTGCCCGTCATATCTCCCGGCTTCTGAAACTCTTAATGAGCCGGGAGGCGCTGGCATGAAAGGGTTAAGGCAGGGGTCCCCAAACTGTGGCCCACCAAGGACATTTATCCAGCCCTCCGGCAGGGGCGTATTTGCCACGAGTACAGGGGCGGGCAGGGGGCTGCTGTGTCTTACCTGGCTCCGTGTCCCAGTCCCACGACGATCTAGTCCAGGAAGTGCTGTTCCTTCATCCACTCCAGACGCTCCTTCACTGGATATTCGCGCTGCGGCTCGGCTCCACCTCCTCACCGGTGATTGGGCGCCAGAACTGTAGCTCAGGAAAGGCACAGAGGCGGCCAATCACCTGCGAGGAGGCGGAGCCGAGCGGCCCCGCGAACATCGAGCGAGGGAACGGCCGGAGTGAATGGAGGTAAGTGTGCCGTGCAGATGGTGCTGCTGCAACGAGGTATGCTGGCTGCAGCAGCACCATGCTGGAACAGGGGTCAGCAAGTGTCATTGGTGTCAGTGGGAGGAATAGTGCCCCATCGTTGGTGTCACTGATACTAATGATGGGGCATTATTCCTCCCACTGACACCAACGACGGGGCACTATTCCTCCCCCCCACTGACACCAACGACGGGGCACTATTCCTCCCCCCCACTGACACCAACGACGGGGCACTATTCCTCCTCCCCACTGACACCAACAATGGGGCACTATTCCCTCCTCCACTGACACCAATGACGGGGCACTATTCCCCCCCTCCTCTCTCCACCCCCCCTCTCTCTCTCTATCCCCCCTCCTCTCTCTCTCCCCCTCTCTCTCTTTTACAGTGTACACAGATCTGACCCAACAAGGTGTCCTGCATTTACTGTATATTTCGCTCCAAAAGACACACTTGGGGGGAAATATCTGTGCGTCTTATGGAGCAGTCAGCCCAGTATTCCCTCCACCATTGTATGTCCGCAGTCTCTGTTCATCTCCTGTACTGTGTCCGCAGTCTCTGTTCATCTCCTGTACTGTGTCCACATTTGTTCATAGTTTTTTTTTTTTTTAAACTACAGTCCGACCCTCCAACGGTCTGAGGGACAGTGAACTGGCCCACTGTTTAAAAAGTTTGAGGACCCCTGGGTTAAGGGCTCATTCAGACAGGCAATTGTGTCCATGCAGGTGAGCCTCAAACCTACAACCATGCATTTAGTAGACCGCCACCTTAACCACTATGCTACAGCCTCTGCTGGGAACAGCATGTATCAAACTGACCTTTGTTTTCAATGTGAAGTGGCTATAGTCCGCCATATGAGAAAATGCTGGGCGGAAGGCGGTTCTCTCGTGGGAGGATGTCATATGACATCCTTCCACTCTAACTACGCGTGCGTGGCTCTGGGGGCCGACTGCTCGTGCCTGAAACCGGCACATGCACAGTTACTTCAGGGGAATACATAGCTTCTGATGGCCGCACTGCGTGCCCCCAGAGCCACGCACATAGGTTCGAGGCACACCTCTGTCACTTCAGACTGCGGGCTGCTAGGTTCTAAGGCCCCATTCTTGCAGTGCACACCGAAGCCCCGTAGGCAGTCTGGATTGAGGGGTTAAGAGCCCAGCTCCTTCCTCTGTGTGCATGGCTGTGGATTTGAGACGCATTGCCTTTCGTTTTTTAGCATTCATTTTCTGTCATTTTATCTATATGGAAAGCTTTTCATGGTCCCAGGAGATTCTACTGGGAACATGGTGACAAGCCTTATCTTCCCTTACACAGGGAGTGCATTTTCTTATTAATGTAAGCCGTGTACCGGGGTGGGCTCCCCAGGATACAGTGAAGTCACGAACGAGGAAAGCAACCCCAACACCAGCTTTGTCACAACAGAATTTTACTTAGATGTGGCAAATAAAAACAACCACAAATACTGGAAACATACAATAAACTTACATACACCCAGCCCAAAGGCTGAGACCCTTGTGCTGCACAGCACGGCGCCTCCTGATGGATGAAGGTAGACAGTGAAGTAATTTACCTACTGGCGGGCACCACTAAGCTGCCACACCTTACCTGTTATTACCCTAAAAGAGCAGGAATCAGTGTATGGGTGTATGGTATGGGCTAGCCCGCAGTGCAGCACAACAGCTTACAATCTTACACAAATCTACAGTATTCCCCCTCCCATAACTGGTCCTGTAGCACGTGCCTGAGTATTCCTTCTGAGCAAAACGCCCATCTGGCTTGAGTTTGTAGGATTTTATCAGCTCCAATGTGAAATGTCACTTTAAGTTGTGGAGTCCTTCCAATGATCAGTAACAACACTTGTGGCCTGACACAGAGACCCTAACTAGCTAACTATAGGCCTGTCTCAGTCCTATAGTTGCCAACACTGAAATGAGGTGCGTGCACGATCTTACCGACCCGGGTCTGCTTTGAATCCGCTGGTGACTCTGAACAGAACAAATGTCTCTCCACTAAGCATGCGATATCACAGTATATATATTGCTTAGTTCCTCAGCTTCCCATCAGCTTCCTGGCAGCAATCTTCCTTTCTTTGAACAGGGTTAGCGTCTTGAACACCATCAGCTTCACTCAACTGAATTTCTGATTACAGAGGGCTGTCCTCACATCTGGATGGCATCAGATTCTCAGATCACACAGCCCCCCTTCTCTCTCTCAAGCATGGCTGCTCTCCTTTCCTTTTCCTGTTCACTCTCCATGTGTAAAACCCCACCCCTTCATGAATATAGAAATCTCTATGCAGTCTGAGGCTGTGTTAGAAAAAACAGTGGCATCTTGTGGCTAAACTGCAGAACGTTTTTAATTTACTTCAATCAGTGTTCAAACAATGAAAGCTGTTTCCCCCATCTCACATTAACTCTTTACTTCCCATTCAACTTATACACTTAGTAGCTTGCGCTTTTCTGCTTTCTTTTAATTGTTTTTGCATTATGTGGGTTAACCACTGGCCCGCTAGAGGATTTACCCCCCTTAATGACCAGGCCTCTTTCTGCTACTCGGTGCTGCACTAATTCAACTGATAATTGCGCGGTC